TGTAAAGAATTTTGAGCTTTTTGTTTTTCCCTGAAGGAAATTTGCATTTCATCAAAGAGAAAATCAGCTGTAATTTTTTTCTCTGGTTCTACCAGGAACGAGTGCTTTAACCCCAGGCACTTTCCTTTCAGGCCTCTATTTCTTCTTCCGGGGAAAGCTACAGGATCTCAACATTCTCTGATTCTGTCTCCTTATCTCCTTAGCATCTAAGGTTTAGGTGTCCTTAGGATATGGTGAAGGGTTAGTGCCTAACCCAGGTATATGCAAGAGAAGGTGCTTGCAGGTGTTATGAATTGTGCCAAAGGTCAACTGGCAGGAAGACAGTGGCTAGGAAGCTCTGAACTCCTTCCATGTATTTTACTGAGAGTATGATTCATTTGTTAAATATCTTACCCCAGATCTGCCTCCCTGTGCCTACTATTGTTTTTTGGTGATTTACTTTAAAATTCCAGTGTTTAGATCCTCCTCTCCCCACGTTGACTCTTCTGTGCACAAAGTGTGCATGTGGTGATCATGATATTGAACAAGTTACCCAACTGGTATTTCATGATATGTTCTTAGCTTTGCAAGGCACTTTTCTCTGCCAAATCTTGACTTTCAGAACGTGAACTAGGTGTGGTGAAGGGTTTCAGATATAGTGCAGAATTCTCTTTTTCGATTCCTTTTGTATGTGTAAGACTGTTCACATGTCTTCCTTGATTTGGTGTCCAGGGGCAAGTGTTTGGCAGTCATAAGCCTTCAACAAGTGCTCGAGAAGGAAGAGTTCTGCATGATTGCTCCCACTTTGCTCCTTGAAAGACACTATTTCCCTTTCATGCCTTTCCCCCCTCATTTTTCCCCTCTTGCTTCTATGCGGTATCATCTTATTCTATAGAACAGAAAAAGTGATGTATGCTGACCCCTCCTTCTTCCAAAAAAAGAAAAGCACTGTGGTAGGTAACACTCCACTGCCTCCCCCCAATCTGCATTTACTCTCCTTTCTGTTCCTTCTTTTGTTACAGAATGAGGAAAAGATAAATGAATAAGAGAAAAGAGGCAAGAACAAGGCAGCAGGCTAAGGAGGGAGATAAGAAAAAAAGGAATTGAGAAACTGGGCTTGGTGCTTCACTTATGTGGATGTGGGACCCAGGTGGGGCTCGCTGGCCAATTGGTGGGGTTCATGGATGAAACACCAGATCCTCCAGTAGCTTTGGAGTCTTTGGCCCTTTGAAGGGCCAGTGGTGATACTCCAACATTAAGAATGGGGTGGGATTTTGGTCACAGAAGGGCAACCCTAGGAATGCCTACATTCTTTCTTTTTTCTTGTTAAGACAGTCTCATTCTGTTGCTCCAGGCTAGAGTGCCCTGGAGTGATAGCTAATACCAGCCTCAAACTCCTGGATTCGAACTGTCTTCCTGCCTCAGCCTGCCAAGTAGCTGGGCCTACATGAACCACCACACCAGGCGTGTTTTCTAACTTGAGTAGAATTTAGAGATCTCACACTTGATGAGGCTAGTCTCAAACTCCTGAGCTCAAACAATCTACCTGCTTCGGCCTCCCAGTGGGCTAGGATTACAGGTGTGAGTCTCTGCACGTGGCTGGAACGCCTAGCTTCTGCTCTGGGTTGGGACGTATTTCCCTACCAGAGATCTTTCTCCTCAGGACCCTCTTTGAAACATGGTTGTTTTCGGCTTTCTCTTGGAGTTGTTAAATCTCAGGGAATGCCTGTAAGGAGATTCAAAGCCAGAGTGATAGTATGGGTCAAACCTTGGAGTGGCTGAAGTCCAGAGTCCTCCAGGCTTACACAGAGGTGCTGTCTAAGCAAACCCTGCCTTTGGTTGCCTAGACACGGCTGCTGTTGCTTTCTCCTGACCTGTGGCTCAGTAAAAAATAACAAGGTACTTATGACAATGCCTGGCTTAGACCTCAATGCGGGGGCATATCTGAGAAGAAGTAAAGGCAACTCCAGTGGTCAGAACTGAGTCTCTCAGGGGAAGATTTTCTGGGGCTGTCGGCAGACCTCTAGCAGGGGTCACTGTACGTAAATAGGTGGCATGGGGTGGCAGAGAGCCATATTTTAAAACATAGCTCTGCCTCTTACTAGATGTGCGCCCTTGGGCAAGTTTTTCCACACCTCTGTGCTGCATTACCCTCAGTTGTAAAATGAATGGGAAGAATGCCGCCCCTTCATCTGTGGAGATGCTGCGGGTTAGAGAAGACGGTATGAAGCCCTTGGCCTATGCTGGTGCTTGGCCTGGTTCCTCTCCCCCCTCACTCCTGCAAGTAGAACTAGACAGTTATCTAGTTTCTAAGGCAATAGGGACACAGAGGGTAGTGCACTTTAAAAAACAATCCATTTTCTTTTCTTTTTGGTTTTTGGGATTTTTTTGAGATAGGCTCTCTTGCTTTATCCTCTTGAGTATTAATGCCGTCATGATAGTTCACCACAGCCTCAAGCTTCTGGGCTCAAGTGATCCTCCTGCCTCAGCCTTCTGAGTAGGCTACTACAGATGCCCACCACCACGCCCAGCTAATTTTTCTATTTTTAGTAGAGACAGGGTCTTGGTCTTCTTCAGGCTGGTCTCCAACTCCTGGCCTCAAGTGATCCCCCTGCCTGGGCCTCCCAAAGCACGAGGATTACAGATTTGAGCCACTGCACCCAGTCAACATGCCATTTTTCCACAAGAGGCAGCATGCTGGTCGCTGTTTCCATCCTGGAAGCTCAGCTGGCTTTGTAGTGTGGTAGGAATAGCAGGACTCGCGTGAGGCTTCCAGTGTTATGCCCAGGGCATCTGTATAGTAAAAGAAAATAAACTGACAGATTTGGTTCCCACTACATGATGGCAAATATGGGTACAACTTAGCAACTGGTTCACTGGATTTGGGCAGGCTTGGGGCATCTGGCATTAATATTTGATATGGAGATAGGAATGATTCAGAGACTTAAGGCCATGCAAGGAGGTGATTGACCCATCTTGTCCATCCTGGGAGGGGTCCCCACCACTTCACCCAGCTGCAGAGACACTGAGTCATCCCACAGCTGCTGTGAAGACACTTTTTTGTTGGTCGGTTTTCCAGGCAGGCAAAACAGCAGTTGTGGTTTTCCATACAGGCAAAACAGCGGTTTTACTATTACGGTTTCTACTCTTTGGGTGGCAGAGTTAAATGTGGGGCCTGCAGCCTGGGTGACAAATCAAAGGCAGAGGAGCACTGTTGCCTTCCCAAACATACATCTTCAGAACACCAGTCAGTGGGATTATTAGTCTCATTTCCTGAGCCCACAGAGTTATACATTTCCCTTTCTGCAGATAAGCCAGCATGTTTCCTACTAAACAGAGTAATTATAGCTTTTTTTCCTTCTGATTAGCTGCTCCTGTAGTGGAATTAAAAACAGATCTCTTGCATTTGTGTGGAACTTTATCTTATATCCACTTTTACCTCAAAAACTCCAGCCAGGCCTCCCCTCTCTGCCCCCCAAGGCTGCATTAGTGGCCTTCGACCCTCCATACCAGCGCTGAAGTCTTAACCTCTTCTTCCCTAGATCATGCCCCACTCACTGGGCAGCTGTTTTCACTAAATATTGCTTTTAATCCATCCTCTTCTTGCCCTCATTTCAGTTTCTGCCATTGTCTTGCCCACCCTGGTTACCTGTTGCCTCTGGTCACATATTGCTCACAGATGTGTTCAGTTTGGCTGGCTTACTACAGACCCACACAGTTACTTGGTTTAGAAAACCTTAATTGTCAGCTTATATAAACCAAGAGAGTTCATATAAAAATTCAGATCACCAGCCTCACCTGAAATGGGTTGGTCTCCCAAAATTGTGCCAACATTCCTGCACGCACTCTCAGCTGGAGCCAAGTGGCTGCCACCCTGTGAGGTGGGCACACATTGTCTATAGTCTCCTAGTCTCTGTGCAGCCTGCTACTGGGTTCAGGGCCCTGGAGGCCTTTGGGTTGTGACTCTTCATTTAAGAACGCGCCCCTCCCTTTTCCTATGTCTTCCCTGCTGCCTCTCAGCTTCTTGAATTGCATAGAAGTTCCTCACCTGGAATTCCATAGTATGCTGGCATTCCATAGTGTCCCACAATGATTCTCAGCCTGAACAGGTATTAGAATCACCTGGAAGGTTAAAGAGGTGATTTCTGGCACCTCCCCTATCTACTCTAAGTTAGTAGTTTAAAGGATGGGGAGTGGATACTCAAGAATCTGTACCTGAAAGCCCCCTGGTAATTCTAGTGCTGATGGCCTAAGGGTATATAATTTTGTAAACACAGTTACAGTCTATTCTAGCTAGTTTTTCTTTAGTTTTAGTTCCACAATTCCTAGAGCAGTGGTTCTCAACATTCCTAATGCCATGGTTCTTTAATACAGTTCCTATGGGTTGCCACCCACAGGTTGAGAACTACTGTCCTAGAGGGAAGTTGCTGGCCCAGACCTTGTTAGATACCTTTCTTCTGCCACCAAATGGCAGCTGATACAAACACTATGTGACACTGGGGGAAAGAAAGAAAGAGGAGCTGGGCTGACAGCCTGGCCTTCTCTTCCGTGTCCTGTCTACCACATTCTGGTTAAGGTGCCAGAGTAAGACTCTTGTCTCAAAAAAAAAAGCTTTGTACAGTTTGTGTAATGACTTGTAACCTCCTGTCATGCAGGACACTGGTCCAGCTTAGAGGTTTGTTTATATTGTATTAAAGATTCACCATGAGCCCATCCTTCATTTACATCTTATCAGTGGAAGAATATTGGGAAGTTGTAAAAATAAGACCAAAGAAGTTTGGGTTTATATGCTCTCGTGAGAGATGAATGCCACCTTTCACGGCAGCTTCACAAAAGCCCATTCATTTTATTTGCTAAGAATATCACCTTTGTGTTCATTATGTTTTATTATCCCTCTTCACTTCGAAAAGATAGTGAGTGATTTTGTGATTGTGCACTGAAATTGTTAAAAAGGGCAAACACTCCTCGGGGTAAAGGAGGCCCAGCAAGTATAGAAGTTGAATGTTCTCTTTCCGTTTTAGAGATTCTTGGCCCCCAGTCATCATGAGCAATCCATTCACACACATTGCTGAGCCACTGGATCCTGTACAACCAGGAAAGAAATTCTTCAATCTGAAAAAATTAGAAGATTCTCGATATGGTAAATACAGGGATCTGTGATGTAATTGCTCTGATAAGAATTGGAATCACATTTGCATAATAATTAGGAATGCTGGAAGAGGAAATAGTGGAGAATGGGTCTCTTACATTATCAATTTTAAGGACGTGATAATGATTATATACCTGTAACACTTACTCGATGCTTTGTTGTATATAGAGCATTTGTACATTTATATTTCATCACTTAATCTGAATAGCAGCCTGTGGGGTTGTGTTTATAAAATCAAAGAAGTCCTGAGGAAGCCAAGCCCCAGAATCAATGTTATGTGATCAGATTACAAGTGGGTGTGTTGCGGAAGAGAAGGATAAGAACATGTGTCTTTTTTTTATTCAAATTGCATACTTTTTCTACCTTTGCACTATCTTTCCAGATAATATGGGTGAGTAATTTTTATATATCAAGATGGAACTTTTATAAATAAAATGATTTTTCTTATGAATTACCATTGTTTTATACTAGAAACTCCAGTTACCACTGGCCATGCTTCCTAGCGTTTAAGGTTTTATTTCCCTTTGAAAGATGTACATGCTTATATTCTGGTCTTAATTACACTAATTGTGAATGGAGTTATTTTGTTATTTCTTGACCATTAGTTTGCATGAGAACTATTACTTGCATGTATATATGTGTATGTGTGTATATTTCTACCTGACACTTAATACAGTAAAAGTCTAGATGGTGAGAAGGAATGACTTAAGGAAATCTCCCTGTGATTGGGATCCAAGGCATGGCAACCATTTAATATGAAAAAGTAAACTGTAATATTCTATTTTTACCTAGTCTGTGAGTATTTCCTGTTATTGAATGTCTCTTAAACCCATTCAATATATATATTTTAAACTATTGATCACTTTACCTTCTTTCCTTTTTTGGAAGAATAGTCTGATGCCTTGTATCGCGTTAATCTAGAGATTGACTTTAAAGAGTGCTTTTATAATACGGTGATTTTTTGTTGGGGTTTCTTCTTGACTCCTAGAACGCTTACCATTTTCAATCAGAGTTCTCCTGGAGGCAGCTGTTCGGAACTGTGATGAGTTTTTGGTAAAGAAGACTGATGTTGAAAATATCCTAAACTGGAATGTTATGCAGCATAAGAACATAGAAGTGCCATTCAAGCCTGCCCGTGTCATCCTGCAGGACTTTACGTGAGCCTCTTGTCACTTTGCTCTCCTTTTCTCTGCCTCCCTTGTCAGCTGTTCAAGAAAGCTTTTTTTAAAAAATAAAACAATGAAAAAAAAAAACAAAGAAAGACCACTTTACTGTAACTGTATAATTTATTACCCATATCTAGGTACTTTTGAAAGCAAAAGGGAGCCATTTCCCCTGGCAGCAAGGGTAAAGTGGAGTTGTCGGATCAAACTGGGCTGTGTAGTCACCGTATTGTTTCCAGTAGCAAAGGTCATCGTCCTTGATCTTGAAGATCCTAGTCCTCAGTCCCCTAAGTAAAGATGGATGAAATAGCACAGAACAGAGCTATTTTGGAATCTTTTTCTCCCACATCTCTTATTGTCCAGGGAGCCAGGTTTCAAACAGCTATACTTGACACCCTGACCGGCTGTCTGCGTGGGAGATAGCAGTGCACCAGGCCTGCCCGATACTGCTGAGCCTCAGCTGTGTCCTCTGTTCCTAGGGATCCTCACTCCCCATCCTGGCCTCTTTTTTGAGACATATTATCTTTCCATTTTTAAATGATGTTATTTTATACCTTCTAGAGACCCAATTTCGTTTTCTGGAGGAAGAGCACACACATTTTATACTTTAAAATAATAAGCAGGAAGAATTCACTTCCCATGAATTTGACTGACAGCCTACTTTTCTGAATTTCCATCTTTTGAAATTGGGTGTGAAGTTGAAGGTGTGATCTGAATGTCTTCTCCAAGTCTTTGTCAGCTCACCATGTGAATGGGAAGAAGTCTTAGCAGTAAGAGTTCTGATCCTCTAGAGCATTATTATCCTAAAATTTAATACAGTGATAAAATTGTATATAGAGATACTACTCTTTTGTGGTACTTATCACGTAAGTGATTTCTGCTCAAGGAAATATGCTTGGAAAGTTTCACTTTTCTAAGTCACCCATTGTTAGCTCCTCTGATGAGATAGTCCCTGGTTAATATCCCTGGAAGCAAAAGCTGAACAATGCAGTTAACACACATGGAAGCCTTATTTTCTGCTTCTTTCTTTTCTCAGGGGTGTGCCAGCTGTGGTGGACTTCGCTGCAATGCGTGATGCTGTGAAAAAGTTAGGAGGAGATCCAGAAAAAATAAACCCAGTCTGTCCTGCTGATCTTGTAATTGATCATTCCATCCAGGTTGATTTCAACAGAAGGTAAGAGTTTAGAATGAATTCCTGGGTTTTCTACTTTGTGCAAAACCTTGGAATAGAAGTCTTTTTAAAAAAAAACAAAAAACTATGTATCTGTACTTAAATAGAAGAAGAAAATCTTTAAAAGTATCTTTAAGAAAGCTCAAACTTAATATAGATTTTCCAGTGAAGATTTTTTTGGGGGGTGGCTTTTTTTAATCGTTTTTTTTTAATGTGTTTACTTCTTGGGTTGGAACAGCCTGTCAGCTTGTGTTGGAGTACAGCTTGAAGTCTGGGTGACACACGCATACGCACACACACACACACAGCTCTGCCACGAGAGCTTGTCAAAGCAAGCATGTGTTTGAATTTAAAAGAGTTTGGGTTTTTTCATTCACTGGAAACTTACTTATTCCTTTTTGATCCTAAGTGTTTCATGTCTGGCAATTCTGCCACTCCACGTGGGTTTTCATAATGCCTATTCCTTTCTTTTCTTTCGTTCAAGTAGCAATGGAGTAATGGGGAATATCCTCTGTTCTCTTCCTGCCAAAATCCTCCAGGCCAGCTTAAATCTTCCTCTGTTAGGAGTTCTTGTCTCCCAGCCTTTTCAGCTGCCTGTTCTCAGCTTGCTAGGGGACTTACTGTCTGCAGTGGGCCTCTAGTCCTTGAAGGAAGTTGTCACCGGAGTTGCTCCCAAATGCATGTAAATAGTCACTTAATACACCAAACTGAGTGACCTTGAAATTATCCTTGAGGCTTGGTGCCATAGTTCAGTGGTTAGAGTGCTGCCCACATACACCGGAGCTGGTGGGTTTGAACCCAGCCCGAGCCTGCTAAACAACAATAATAATAACTACAACCAAAAAATGGCCAGGCACCTATAGTCCCAGCTACTTGGGAGGCTGAGGCAAGAGAATTGCTTAAGTCCAAGAGTTTGAGGTTGCTGTGAGCTGTGACACCATGGCCCTTGGGCACTATACTGAGGGCAACATAGTAAAACTGTGTCTCAAAAAAAAAAAAGAGAAGAAATTAAGAAATTATCCTTGAGTTAATTGAGAATCTTTCTGAATAATTTAGGTGGCCATAATACCTTTAGAAGGGGAGAATCTGAATCTCTGAGGACAGGTGGGTTTCTCTTTTTTTGTTAACCTTATACCCTTGACATTCAAAGGTGTACATATTAAATACTTTATCAAAGAAAACCTTTTACAGAAAAGAAAATCGAACGTGTGAATATGTAGTTGCAAATTAGCAACTTAGGCCTGACTGCTTAACAAACTTTAAAATGAAGTACTTCTTAAGCAAAATGCATGTAGCATTTGTAACCTAGCCCATCACAGAGATGACTATCTAAATTCTGTGATATTAAACAGGGCCAGTCATAGTGACTCATGCCTGTAATCCCAGCACTTTAGCAGGAGGAGCTCTTGAAGCTAGGAGTTTAAGACTAGCCTAGGCAATATAATGAGACCTCAACTCTACAAAAAAAAAAAGGAAAAGAAAATTAACTGGTTGTGGTGATACATGCCTGTGGTACTAGCTACTCAGGAGGAGGATGGCTAGAACCTAAAAGTTGGAGGTAAAAGTGGGATATGACTGCACCCTAGCCTTGGCAGTAGAGCAAGACACATCTCTGGGAAAAAAAGAAAGAAAGAAAAAAAAAGAAAGTCAAACAGCAATGGAGTAATGGGCAATTCTCCTGACTCAGTTTATTTTAATGAGCTTTTATCCCTAAATCTTATTCTGCAAAAGCCTTTGCTATAAATTATAAGTGTTGGGAATGAATCTTTGGGTTAAAATGGCATCAGGATATCAAACAATGTTATGCATTTCCAGTCCCCTGTGAGATACACAGCCGGGGCTACTCTGTTCCATTTGTGTTTCTTTTGAGGCCCAGGCTGAAGGAAAAGGCAGTTGTCTGGTGATCAGAGAAATTCAAGAGGGCAAGTGGAAATACATAACATCTCTTAGGGCAGTGGGTCTCAACCTTCCTAATGCCATGGCCCTTTAATACAGTTCCTATGGGTCATGGCCCACAGGTTGAGAACTACTGTCTTAGTGCCTTGATGAGGGTCAGCACAGAATTATTTCTGTTCACAGTGCCATTGATCAAAAGTATGTCACATGCTTGAGCCCAAAGTCTAGGTAGGGAAGTACAGTCTGTCTTTTGTAGAAATTACTGCAAGATTGCACAACAAAGGTTTGGATACAGGGAGGGCAGTCAGGTACTGTTAAGAGGCTAGCATCTTGACCTAGAAGTGTGGTTACATAAAGTTGTTATCAGCTATCAGTGGAGAAGAAAATGACTCCTACATAAATGCTGGGAAAATTAATTATTTAGTGCAGGGAACAGTTCATATTAATCAAAGCATAAATATTAAAAAATTTAGAAGAAGGGGTGGCACCCATAGCTCAAAGGAGTAGGGCGCCGGCCCAATATACTGGCTCAAACCCGGCCCCAGCCAAAAACTGCAAAAAAAAAATTTAGACAAAAATTGAAGTATTTATGTGTCACATGTCTTGATGAGAAAAACTTCCTAAACTTAGAATCAATGAATGAGGGTGGGCTCAGTGGCTCACATCTGTAATCCTAGCACTCTGGGAAGCTGATTGCTTGATTGAGCTCAGGAGTTCAAGACTAGCCTGATCAAGCATGAGACCTCCATCTTTCCTAAAAATAGAAAACCCTAGCTGAGGATGGAGGTACATGCCTATAGTCCCAGCTACTGGGGAGGCTGAGGCAAGAGAATTGCTTGAACCCCAGAGTTAGAGGTTGCTGTGAGCTACAATGATGTCATAGCACTCTACCCAGGGTAGCAGAGTGACACTTGATCGCAAAAAAAAAAAAAAAAAGCAATCAATAAAATAAACAAGGAAAAATAAAGAAATAATGAAAAATGTTGTAGATTTAATATGATTTCAATATTAAGAGGAAATAACTTGAAAAATATGTAGAAGGTTAATTATCCTTAATATATAAGAATGTGTGTAATCCATTAGGAAAATAGTAAGACCCTGCAGATAAATGAGCAAAGGAAAGTGGACATTTCACAATAACAGGAAATGCAAATAGTAGTAAAGTAGGATATATAAAGCCTTTATATTCAGTCTTACAAATAATAAAAAAGTAAAATAAATATTTGAGATACCACTTTCTCTTATCAACATAGTTAAGATTAGAAAATGAACATTAATTATGAAAGTGTTACAAGGGAGACACTTTTATACACAGCTGATAGCACTAATTTAGAAGTGACAAAATCAATATATATGAAGGCTTTAGAAGTTTCTATATCCTTCATCCTGGAATTTCTGCTTCTAAGCATACTCTTAATAGATAGCTGAATTCAAAAAAAGCTGAATGGGGATTAAAATCCATTAAAGTATTATTTATTGTCGTAAGTAATGATAGTATCATAAATAAAAATAATACCATAAATTGTTAAAGTATTTATTTATAACGACTAGAAATAGTCTAAATGTCCAGTAAAGGAGAATTATTTGGTAAATTATTATATGTCCCTAAAGCGAATTATTAGGTAACCTTTACAGTTTTATGTATGAAGTGTTAATAACACTCTGAAGGTGCTCATACTGGGGCTCAGTGAACCAGATGCTATATACTATATTGCATCTCAGCTGGATGGAAAGCTATGCAGGGATTAAAAGATTGGAAAGAGGTGTCAAAATGCTCAGCAGTTATCTCTGGGACTGTAACTGGTCTATGTTTTACAATAAGAAGCTAATTTTTTATAATTAAAAGTCATTGAAGAATATGAAACAAACTACTCAAAAGGAAACCAAAACACCTTTATTTACCTCCTTGGGGGTTTAAATGGGTTCCATATAGCCTCAGAAGAAATTTAGAAAATTGTCATTCTCAAATGAATATTGCCAACATCCAAACCAGATAAATTCAGCATAAGAAGAAATCTACTTTGTCCTCCAGTAATGATTCTTGGAACCAACTGGATACTTGCCAATTCTTCCCTTTCCTTTGGACTCTGAACCATTCTTAGGCAACACATCCTTCCACTCCTACCCCGCTCCACCCCTTGCATTTTTGTTCTAAATCACATAAACATGAATGTTTTGGTTTCAAAAGGAAGGCTTAAAAATGTACGTGTAAAATGTTCAGAAGTTATAAAAGTAGCTTCACAACATCATGCCCAACTTTGTTTTTATTGGAGGCTTTCACTGATACTGATGAATTTACCTTCATTTTGTTGGCCTAAAGGAGAAAGTACTGGTGGCGGCAGAATTATAATTGTTCTTATGTCTAAAATCTGTTGACTCAAAATTCAAAGAACTCAGAGCTATTAATGCATCTGTGTCATCACCAAGTTCACTGTAATTTCCTTTTTTCTCCCTTTTGACCTTGACTCTTTCAGTTTTTTTAAAGACTTTTTTTTATTTACACCATAGTGCTAAAAACATTATTACGAAAATAGCAAAATCCAGGGGTGAACTTTGACCCATACAGATATCCAAATCTAGCAAACCCTCCCCCCAGATACATGTAATCAGAGAGCATTTCTGTTAGAAGTGTTTTCATTGGTGGTGGTTTGTTTTTATTTCTTGAGTTGTGGTTTTGCAGTTCGACCTCTGGGTGTCTTTACTCATTTTTTTAAAAAATTAAATGTGATCTATCTTAACCCTTGTGCAACTGTATTCTGTGGGCTTATTTCCAGTTCTATTTCCAGGAATAAGCTAGAAAAACTGGATAAGGGGTAGTGATAAAGTGTAAATGTCTCAGTGAAATATTCTAAGCTCTTGCCTGGTTTGAATAATACTAATTGGCCTCCACACCATCTTTAGGAATTAAGGATCCAGTCCATATGTTATTGTAATGTTTCACAGAGTTATCTCAGAAATAACACTTTTTCCTCAATAAGAATTTTATAACAATTTCTGACCACATTTCATGAGCGTGAAAACTAATTCCTCTGTAAGTTGTGAGTTTTTGGAGTTTCATTAAATGTAATTCTCAGAAATTGAACTGTGTCCAGATCTGAATTCAAATTAAGGAGTTAAGAAGAAATTTCCTCTTTAGCCTATGACACATTTACTTTCACAGACCTTATTGAAAGCTCACTAGATTAGGCTAATTTAGGGAGGTTCTGAGTGGTAGAAAAATCTGAATACTAGGTCTGTTTATTCCCTCTAATAACTAGAACCACCCTTAATATAATAGATATTTTGTTTTTCTCAGTAAATAAGTTTTTGCCTGGAATTACTGTCAGGAAACAATCTAAGCATTTCTAGTGCTTCTGTTTGTTCTGTGAATCTGTTGCTCTGTCAAACTGATGTTCCCAGCATTTCCTGGGGTAAACATTCCCTGTCCGGTCCCACTTATGCTCTGAGAAGCTCTGATGTCCTCTGATGTTGGAGGGAAGAGGACCAGGGAGTGCTCAAAGGATAGCAGAAGAGATGGGAGTACCAGAACAAGGCCCACTTGTGGTTAAGAATCTCACCTGTATTTGGTAGGAATCTCTCTGGGTCAGAGATGCTTTCCTTTTATAAATTAAAAGACCTTAATAGACCTGCTACGTGACAGTATAGTTGAGAAGAAACAGGATAGTTTAGAAGAGGAGAAAACTTAGTGAACCCCAACCTTCATGCAGTTGAGAAGTATAGTCCCCACAGAGAAGGAAGGGAAATAATCTTTACCTAGGCAGTCAGAGGCTGTCCAAGGAGCATCGCATGATCTGGATCCTGACATGTGTTTACCAGGGAGAGAAGAGCTGGAAGAGGCACTCTATTTAGAGAGAATAGAGTATGGAAAGGCGTGAGGAAAGTGTGGCTCGGGGGAGAGTGTGAGGGCTGCAAGTGTGGCTGAAGCTGAAAGTAGAAGGGTAGGAAAAGGTTTGCAAAGGAAGGTTGAGGTCATATCAGAGGGCTTGGTTTTTTAAGACAAGGAATGTGTAGCTTAATAGACAGTGGTAAGCCATTGGGGGGTGTGGTGGCTAACTCCTATAATCCTAGCATTCTGGGAGGTTGAGGCAGGATTGTTTGTACTCAGAAGTTTGAGACCAGCGTGAACAGGAGTGAGAACCATCTGTACTAAAAATAGAAAAATTAGCTCAGTGTTGTGGTGGGCACCTGTAGTCCCAGCTACTCCAGAGGATGAGGCAAGAGGATGGCTTGAACTCAGGAGCTTGAGGTTGCTGTGAGCTAGGCTAACTCCATGGCACTCTAGCCTGAGCAACAGAGTGGGACTCTGTCTCAAAAAAACCAACAAAAAAAGAAAGTGGGAAGCCCCTGCCAGTGGTAGAGTCAGCCTGGGCTATAATGATTTGTATTTTAGATAAGTGATTCAGTGACAACACAAAAAGTGGGCTGGATGATTGAAAGGACACCTCCTTGGGAGGCTGTTTCTGGAATACTTCCATAGCTTCGGGAACTAAGTGGTGGGAGAGGAGGTCATTAGCTAAAATATGGACAGACAGGGAAGAGGGGCAGATTTAGGAAGTCAGGCCACACAGTAGAGTCGGCCTGTGGAGTTTAAAGTGCCTGAAGTATTCCTGATGCAAATGCTTGGGATGTATTGGAAAGGGGGATTTGCACCTGAAGAGACAGAGGGAAGGGCGAGAGGGATAGAGCCCCCCCTCCCCAGCCCACATGTATTGAGAAGCAGGTGGAGATGAGTTCCTTGAGGAGTAACTGCATCTCGTCCAGAGGCTCTGCTAATGCAGGTGTCTGCTCTGAGGTCCTGCCTTGTTCTGCTGCACCAGGGTCTCCCCTCCCCCTGCATCTTCCTCTTGCTTTTCTGTAACATGTACACACCTTCACAAACACTTCTGCTCTTAGGTGGGATCAGCAGACTTTTTCTGTGAAGGGCCAATAATAAATGTCTTAGGCCTTGCTGGCTCCATACTCTTCCCATCACATATTCTCCCCCCTCCAACATTTAAAAGTGTAAAAATCATTATTCTTTTGAGGGCCAAGCATATATGGACATGGGGCTGAGTTAGGCCCATGGGCCATAGTTTGTGTCCCCCCATTGTAAGGGGGGGACACAAACTAGGAATCAGGAATTGATTCCATTTAAAAAAAACCAATGCTTGTCTTAGAGAATATTCACATCAAGAGAAAAGATCACTGTGGTAACTGAATGTGTTTGTTGTGCGGTAAATCTTACCCATGGGCTTCCAGGCCTTTTCTTCATAGGGATGCCTGCCCTTTGTCATTCTCTGGCCAACTCCATCATCCTGCAGACTACACCGATGTCATTTCCTTCTGAAAAGCATTCAGGACCTCCTGGTCCAAGTTGATGCCCTTTCTGAGTGCTCCCAGGGTGCCCTGTACTTCCTAGTCTTAGGCATTGCCTGGGTGCTCTCTGTATCTCTTACCAGGCTCTGAGCTCCGGGTGGGCAGGGAGCAGCTTCTGCACCGTGGTGTTCCCAGCACACAGCACATGGTAGAGTCTCATAGACTAAGGTGAAGGGAGAGTGGGCGAGGAGTACCGTGGGTAAGGCAGGGATGCCAGGGCCGGTCAGACCTAGTTCAGGTCATAGCTCTAAGATTTACCAGTCACCTGGCTTTGGACAAGTTATCTAACCTTTCTGTGCTGCTGCATCCGTACACTGAGGATGACAGTCCCTTGTACAGGAGCTGTAGCAGTTGAATAAAGCATGGGGCTTGTAGCCTAGTGTTGCACTTTAGCTCTTACTATTGTAATATTATTGTGCTAGTGATGGTTATTACCACTACCACCATTATTTGCCATGTCTCGGTAACTGCTACCTATTCTAGTCTGATTACGTGTAGGGGTGGAGAGAACTCTAGAGTCAAACGGCCTGAGTTCCGCTTTCAGTTATTCCCTTTACCGGCTTGTGTGGTTCTATACCGGGCAGGTTTCTTAACCTCTCTGTGTCTCCAATAGTCATACCTAAACTCAAAGAGTTGTTACAAAGATTAAATGAGAAAATTAATGTAAAGCATTAAGAATAGTGGCTGGTACCTAGTAATATCAATTAAGTGTTAATTATTATCTTAGTTAATGAAGTCTGACTTTGATCTTAGCTGTTAATTTTGTTCTTTCCTATGTTCACTCAATCCTATGATAGAAAGTTTGTGAGCATCTTCTGTGTGCCAGATCCTCAGACTTGCGACTATTCAAATGAATTACTCTTTCTTGGCTCAAAACAATGCAATTTATATAAAAATCCTGGAGTATCTTCTTGGCTCCCTGCATTGTCATGATGGACTGAATGACCTCAGCATATAATCTGTGGTTTGCTGTTCTTGGGTGGCACCATCCTCCCCATACACCTCTGTCTGATAGACTAAGCCTCTTGGCATTGCTGGTTTCCCATCTCCCAACATAAACAGGTGGAAATGCCAGCCCAGACATAGCCCAGCTCAGAGAGCCGTTACAATGAGGTCACGGATGAGAAATGAGCACAGAAACAAGGGGTTTTTAAACATCTCCGCTGCTATTGTCATGTAAATAAATGTCTTGAGTCTGTTGCTGAGAGTCAGACTTCATGATTACATTAGTTTTAACTCTAATTCCAGGTAGTGAGTATTCTTTTTATTTTCACTAGTTACTTTCTCTTTTCTACGTTGTAGTAATCATGTATGAAGTTCATGATACCACTCAGCAAGCCTGTAGATGCAATTTCATTTTTTTAGTTCATCACCAACAAATTTGGCCAAATAGCATTTTAAGCCTCAAAATTTATATATTTTATTTTTCTCTCTGACAGGGCAGACAGTTTACAGAAGAATCAAGATCTGGAATTTGAAAGAAATAGAGAAAGATTTGAATTTTTAAAGGTATGGGCAGCATTTGATTCTGCTGTTTGGTTTTCTGTATATGTGGGGCACAAGGCAGAGGTGCCAAGGAGACAGGCTGAGTAACCGTGCCGTACGTGTTCTTAGTGTTCTTTCCATTTCTAATTCTAGTGGGGTTCCCAGGCTTTCCACAACATGCGGATTATTCCCCCTGGCTCAGGAATCATCCACCAGGTGAATTTGGAATATTTGGCAAGAGTGGTGTTTGATCGGGATGGATATTACTATCCAGACAGCCTTGTGGGCACGGATTCGCACACTACCATGATTGATGGTTTGGGTATTCTTGGTTGGGGTAAGTTGTCTTCTGGGTTTCTGTGTCATCCCTGTATATGCTGTTTTCAGGCGTGTATCTTAAGTCACTTTGATGCCATTACATCCCAGTAGCCTGAATTTGCATGACCACAAGTATCAGAGAGGTACTTTTCCTTTTGTCTGTTTTATTCTCTGCTGTTTTTCAGTATCCAGAAAAGCACTTCATACTTAGGTGCTCCATGATTATGAACTGGAAGAAAGTATTTTTAGCATAAATGAAAATCACTGGGGTGTTTGTTATACTTGGGGACTCCTGAAGCCTACACTCCTTTGGGTATAGCACTGAGGGGATTTTTTTTTTTTTTTTTTTTGAGACAGAGTCTCAAGCTGTAGCCCTGGGAAGAGTGCTGTGACATCACAGCTCACAGCAACCTCAAACTCTTGCCTGAGCCTCCCAAGTAGCTGGGACTACTGGCACCCGCCACAACACCCAGCTATTTTTTGGTTGTAATTGTCTTTGTTTGGTGGGCCCAGGCTGGATTCGAACCAGCCAGCTCCAGTGTATGTGGCTGGTGCCCTACCTGCTTGAGCTACAGGCGCCAAGTCTTCACTGAGGGGATTTTGATACAAGTATTTGGGGGGATAACACTTTGAGAAACACTTGTTAAAAATTTTGTAGAAAGAAATACAGATAAAATAATTGCTCTTTATAGATACATAACATAACTCCATACCTGTTAAACATTATAGCTGGGTTTATTACCTATTAATGACACTGAGTTTGTATCTGAGAGCTACAGGGGAATAATGAAAGCATCACTCTGGTGTGCATTCCTTCCAGGTGTGGGGGGTATTGAAGCAGAAGCTGTCATGCTGGGTCAGCCAATCAGCATGGTGCTTCCCCAGGTGGTTGGCTACAAACTGATGGGAAAGCCCCACCCTCTGGTAACGTCCACAGACATCGTGCTCACCATTACCAAGGTAAGGGTGTCCTGCCTCTCCTGTGGTCTTTGAAAACCACACTGACAAACAGGGATGAAATACATATTAGAGGCTCCCTTGGTTTTTGTGTGCTCTAGAAATTCTGGGAAACTTACTACATTGATGATTTTAAAAGGAGATGAGATAAGGGGAGTGTTCTGTGTTTATGTTTAAACAATTTTTTCCTCTCATTTTTCCTTTTTTTCCCTTTTTTTTTCTTTTTTTATTTGCTTATTTCTTTTTCTTTCATTTTTAAAAAATTTCTTAATTTTTTTGTGGTTATGTTTAGATAATTTGTTCATTTTGCTCTCTGTTTCTGCATGGATCTTTTTCTTACATTTTTTTAAAATTATGAAATAGTTTAAATACACAGAAATTAAAATGACTTTCACAGACTTATCACCCAGATTTTTTTTTTTTTTTTTGAGACAGAGTCTCTTTGTCACCCTTAGTAGGGTGCTCTGGTGTCACAGCTCACAGCAACCTCAAACTCTTGGGTTTAAGTGATTCTCTTGTCTCAGCCTCCCAAGCAGCTGAGACTACAACTGCCCACCACAATGCCTGGCTGTTTTTTTGGATCCAGGCCAGGTTCCACCTTGCTTGCCTCAGTGTATGTGGCCGGCACCCTAACCACTGAGCTACAGGGGCTGAGCCTTATCACCCAGATTTAACAGATGAGAACATTTTGCCATATTTGCTTCAGAGCTCTCTCTATATATTTTTGAAGAAATATGTAATTTTTTTTTTTACTAAAGCTATGCTTCCCATTCCTAAGAATAGTCATCATCATCCTGAGGTTGTGAGAATCATTCCCATGCGTATGTTTATACTTTCACTATATTTTTCCACATGGTTCCTCTTTGTATATAAATAACAAATTAGTTTTACACATAGTATTTGACTTTTTTAATTCTCTTCTCTGTATTGTAAGTTAAATTATTATAACAGATTTTTCTCCAAGGTGTAAAATAAAAGTTTTGTTCTTTAGCTGGGAAATTATTGTCTTTTTTTTTTTTTTTTTTGTGATTTGCTTGTTTTGTAAAAAGGCCATTTTATTTTGAGACACTGCTAGAAAAACAATGTTTTTTTTATTACCACAAGCACAATTTTTTATGGTTTTATAGTTTGGAGGCTTAGGGTTTTTCGCACAGACACTGTATTGTTAAAGGCCAAAATAAGTTTCCCTTTGATTTAATCTTTGAAATTTGGAGTTGAATTTATTACAACAACACAGCTTATCACAAAGGCCTATGCACTCTTTTTAAAGATATGGAATAATATGGAATTTGCTCACAAAACTTGGCAGAATTCCCTATAACCCAAAGAGCCTATCTCTGTGGTTGTCTACAGCCAGTGAGACTGGCTTCATGCAGAGCTAAGTCAGTCACTGGAGTCTCACTCCTGGCTGGTGTCTTGTGTGGAAAAGATCTGGCAAGTCAGATATGGGGACCTTTGGGTTACATTTGGCTTGAACTTGCAGCTAGAATTTTATTCATATTCCTGTGAAAACAAGTCCTATTCTTACTATAGTGCAAATAATTAATTTAGGTTGAAAGAATTTATGAATAATATTTAGCACTTTTAGGCACTTGTAGTGGTCTCATTAGAAAGAGAAAGAGTGTTACTAATTTTGAAAAACTTTTCTTAGTGTTATTTGCATTTTTGGCATACTTTTTCTTTGTTTTTCTAAATAAGAACTATTTTGACATGATCTTAAATTTATGGGAGAGTCAGTATAAAGATAGTACAGGAATTTCTGTTATTTTTCTCCCAACTTCCCGTAATGTTAACATCTTATAAAAGATGTTATTTATAAGCATTTTTAATGGCACATTTATCTCAACTAAGAAGTTAACATTGGTATGGCACTCATAACTAAAGTACAGACTAAACTAGTTTTTTTCAGTAGTGTCCCTTTTACGTTCCAGGATATCATGTTGCCTTTAACTGGCATTGCTTTTTAAATTTCATTTTTTAAAGTAATCAAAAATACGTTGGACTAATTTATTGTTTGTGTTTATTCACAAGGCTATTTTATAAGAATTTCAAAATAGTATTCTGCCTTTTAAATGTAGGCTGTCAAATCTCAAGCTTTTCTGTTGTTTCTGCTACTCAGCACCTCCGCCAGGTTGGGGTAGTAGGCAAATTTGTTGAGTTCTTCGGGCCAGGAGTAGCCCAGTTATCCATTGCCGACCGAGCTACAATTGCTAACATGTGTCCCGAGTACGGAGCAACTGCTGCCTTCTTCCCAGTTGATGAAGTTAGTATCAGGTACCTGGAACAGACAGGTAAGTACATAAAGGACTGCGAAAGCTGAGGGCTCTTGGTGGAAGTTCCGTGGAACACTGAGAATCTGCCTTCTGCCCCTGCCCTGCAGAATGCAGTGGGTTAGAGTCACACTTTTTTTTCCTCTGTGGAGCCAAGGTAGAGCGTTGGGATTTAAGGAGGTATGATATAGAGATGGTAGATAGTGTGGCCAATAAAATGTTCTCAGGTGCTCTGGAAGCCTGGATACTTACTATGATATTTACTACTAGTTTTTTGACATTAAACAAGTAATCTTAGTACGAAATCTACTATCTTTGGGCTGCCTGCTGTGTACCAGGCACTCGGTATGCATTTGCTGTCATCCTCTTTACAGATGTGTGGGATACACTGATTAATTAGTTAATTAATAAGAGAGAAAACCGAGGATAAGAGAAATGTTGCCTTACCCAAGGCTCCCGCATAGTAGAGCCAGAATTCAAGCTACATGGCTCCAAAGAGGGCCATGGCTCCAGTGCCCTTTGGGTTGCCCAGAAGGTAAAATGAGAGACAGCATAGAACGGCATTTTAAAATGTTGACAGATCTTTAATTCTTTCTATATTTACTTAGACATTTGACTTTTAACTTTGAGAAAGCTGTTATTTTAGTGTCTCAAGTTTATTTTAGAAACATTAAAGTCATTCAGTCATCCATTTAACAAATTATCCATATCCAGTCCGGTTCCCAAAGATACAGCTGTGAACAGGATAGATAAAGTCCCTGCCCCCTGAGAACTTACATTCTGGTGAGGGAGAAAGGAACAAATATACACCTGCATAAGTGTGCCAATGCAGAAGAAAGCAAGGAGGCGGGTGAGAGTCCCTGAGAGTGCTTTTTATATTATAACGAGGTCAACAAAGGGCCCTTGAAAGTAAAATTTGAACAGATGTCTAAGAGAAGGGATAAGCCATAGGAAGGGTTACATACACATTTTATAGACTCTAAATCCGAGTCTTCTCCCATGGCCTGAGGAAACTCTATTGGAAATAGTAAAGATTATGATGAAGTTTATTTTTTAAAAAATGTTTTTATTAAATATAACAACATTAAAATTGATTAATATATCCTTGTGCCCCAAAGTATTTGAAATGAAAAAGATGTAGAGCTAAAAGAATAGAATGAGGCCAGGTGCAGTGTCACGCCTGTAATCCTAGCACTCTGGGAGACCAAGGCGGGTGGGTTGCCTGAGCTCACAGGTTCAAGACCAGCCTGAGCAAGAGCAAGACCCTGTCTCTAAGATTAGCTGGGCACTGTGGTGAGAACCTGTAGTCCCAGCTACTTAGGAGGCTGAGGCAAGAGAATCACTTAAGCCCAAGAGTTGGAGGTTGCTGTGAGCTACAATGCCACAGCACTCTACCAAGGGTGACAAATTGAGACTCTGTCTAAAAACAGAACAAATAAAAGAATAGAATAAATAGTTGAGGAAATTAGCCTAAATGTGGGAAGGGATGACACGCTGGTAAGGGCTAAAAAGCTGCAGAATAAATCCGAAGGGAAGATTAGGCTGCTAGAGATGGCCATTAAACTTTGTGATCTAGTGCCAGATTCGTAAAATCTATTAAATTGGAACAAGCATACTGCTTCAGAAGAGTATGGTCCTTTCTTATACACAATAAGGTATAGTGAAAAATTGGCTCCACAATAGGGCATGATAAATATATTAATGAAGCTCTTATACCTGTCTTATAATGGCTTCACAGTTTAAAAAAAGGAGACAAAAAATTCTAATCCACTGTGGGTCCAAAAATCACATGTTCAGTCTCACTTAACTGTCAGAGAAATGGATGGACTGCACATGCATTGAGCATATTTGGTATTATCTCTTAGACACCATGATCGTGATACAAATTAAACAGTAGAGGTTTCAGAGTCAGATTCCTGGTGATACAGCATTATGAGTTAAGACTTTGAGCTTTGGAGTCAAACTCAAGTCAGATCCTGGATCCGCCATTTTCTTGCTGTGTTCCAGGGAAAAATTACTTAATCTTCTTTAGCAATTATTTCCTCATCTATAAATGAGAATACCAATTGCACTTGTCTCACAGGGTCATGATAAAGGTTAGAGATTGAGATAATGTATTTAGAACATTTATACACAATGCAGGAGGCACACAGAAAGAGCTTAATGGTGTGGGGTGGGGTGGATTATTATTTTAAATATAAGAATGTGGAATGCTGAAAGTCTTTATGGGCAGTTGAAGGTAGAAGCATACGTGTGCTTTGACAGTTAGCTTAAGTATAAGATCATCATAATTAAGGACTGTAACCAAAAAGAGAGGGTGGCCAGGGAGGTGGTTCACACCTGTAGCCCTGGCACTTGGGGAAGGTGAAGTGAAAGGATTCCTTGGGGCCAGGAGTTTGAGGCTGCAGTGTTTGACTCCAGCCCAGACAACAGGGCTGTCTCAAATAAAAAACAAACCTAAAAAGCAAAAGGAGGGGGAATACTGTAGGTAGAAATAGAATCTTTTTCAAATACTACTTACTTTGTTAGGAACCGCACATCAGTTAGTGACCTCTCATAAAAAGCGGCATCAGCTAGGGAGTGAGACCGTTAGCCTGGAAGTTAAAATATCAACAGCTCTTGTGGGGGCTGTGTGAGGGAAACATACATAACCTACTTGTGTAATTTCTGTTGGATATATTAGTTTATAGTCTTTAATCAGGAAATATTAATATTTGTTACATGTTACTTCTTAACATGCCATTTAGGTCGTGATGAAAAAACAGTAAAGCACATTAAAAAATATCTCCAGACTGTCGGAATGTTTCGAGATTTCAATGACCCTTCTCAAGACCCAGACTTCGCCCAGGTATGAGAATGCCCTCCACACAACACTGTGTTTCTTCCTCCTGAGGCCTATGATTTTAGTTGTGTGAGTTTTTCCTTAGGGGGGAGGGGTACACTTGTAGGAAATAAGTCACTGCCAACTTTTGCAGGAGAACAGAATGTTAAAAGGCTGAAAAATTCAAAGGATAGGGAAATTGTAAACATACAAATTAGTCTGTAGTAGTATAACATCTTAACGTTCCTACTGGCCTAAACAGTGTGAGCTGAGCTTGTTCCCTCTTCTGAGCTACTGCTTCACACTCTTACGTGGAAGACCACTGAAAGATTTTACCAGAGGGACAAGCGCTGTTTAAAGGTTAAGCCCATCATTATTATAGATCTAGAAAGAAGAGAAGTTATAAACCTATCAGTTCTATTTATCCAGAGATTGACCTTAATCTTCTAGGATGCAAACTGAACCCACATATTTTTAGACAGCCAAGGTTGGAGGGTAAATTGGACCTGGGACTCTTGTTTTGTTACATACTATATCAGGGGAAGGAACTATTTAGTTAGACTAAGACCCATTTCCTGGCATTGATGACTTAATGGCTGCATCTCTCTCAAATCACCCTACAAGTATAATGGTTTATGCTTCACTTCAATAGAAAACCTATCTCAAGCCAACTTAGCAATAAAAAGCATACACAAACTGCTTTCTGAGGACAGACTGGTGGGAGACACTGGGCGGCACCTGCAGTGTCCACCTTGATCTTTCTGAGAGGCAGCAAGGCCTCCTTTCTCACTCTACCTAAGGGCTCATGTTGATCTTGGGAAACTGAACAACTTAAGTGTTAAGATAAACAGTGGCTTTTTTATTTTTGAATTTGGTAGTTTTGTTTAATTGTTTATTTCTATTGTGATATTTAAAATTCTTTGCATGCCTTCTCATTCCTCTTTATAGGTATAATGTGAATTATCTAATTTCTTTTGGGTGAACAGGTTGTGGAATTAGATTTAAAAACAGTGGTGCCTTGTTGCAGTGGACCCAAGAGGCCTCAGGACAAAGTTGCTGTGTCTGACATGAAAAAGGACTTTGAGAGCTGCCTCGGAGCCAAGGTAGGGGCCTGGAAGAATAAGTCCAACTCCTCTGACCCCACCCCGTGCCTTGTTTCTGTCCACTCAATGATGACTCTTTGCAGCCTGGTGCTGAATGTTCTCTACTCCATTCAGAAATTCTTAATGACACAGCCATTAGCTACAGGCCACACAGCTTAGAGCACATGACCTGTAAACACAACTCAACCCACCTTTCTCAGCCTATCTCGTTTTCACTTGACTCTGGCCACATTGTTTACTCTCCTTACCCAAGCTTTTCAGGCCACTCCCTGCCTGTCTCTTCCTCATTACATCATGTCCTAGTAAAAACTCACCTTTCCCCTGCAGCATGGCTTCAGAATCTCATAGCAGAAAGTCATCTTTCCCTTGTTTGAAACTTCTGGCCCTTGGTCTGAAACCCTCTTGATGGTGTTCCATATTCTTCAACTTACATTGTTGGTACTTTATTTGCAGTATGATTTCTCTTACCAGACTTTGTGTTTGAGAATAGCATTGTGTCTTAATCTCCTTGGTATCTCAAAGTACCTAGCATATTTTCTGCTACATAGTAAGTAGATTTTCACTTATCCAAATAAATCGATAAGAAGTACTATGGATTTTACCTGGTGAACACCAGCATTATACCAAATGTTTAGCTGTAGTTTGTATCACTATTTTTTCTTTTTCTCTTCTTTTTTTTTTTTTTTTTTTAGACAGAGTCTTACTCTGTTGCCCTGTGTAGAGGGGATTGACATAATAGCTCACAGCATCCTCAAAATCTTGGCTCGAGCAATCCTTTTGCCTTAGCCTCCCTAGTAGCTGGGACTACAGGCACCTGCCATAACAGCTGGCTATTTTTAGAGACCGGGTCTCTCTCTTGCTCAGGATGTTCTCAAACTCTTGAACTCGGGCAATCCATCCACCTTGGGCTTCCCAGGGTACTGGGATTACACATGCACGAGCCACTGCTCCCAGCCTCTGTACCTTGCATTATTGATCATGATTCACTGCTCAAAATGGTACTTTCCCTAAATTTCTATAAGGCTAAATCAGAAGCCTCAGTCAGTTTGTATCCATTGACCTTTAGAGTAAGGACATTTTGTTGTATTTAGACTATCTTTGAACTAAATTTAGCAGTTTCATTTTTGAGGTGGGAAGGAGATAATTGTTCAGAAATCATGACTGCATATTGTAAAGATATGAAAAAAGTAAAGACAAGTTTAATTCTTCTGTAGCATTTCAGAGTTTGCTGGCAGAAATATTTATGTTTTGTTAAAAATTGGCCCTTAAGACTGTGTGTGGGTGTGGTTGTTGACAACTGTAATCCTAGCACTCTAGAAGGCCAAGGCAGGTGGATTTCATGAGCTCCGGAGATTGAGACCAGCCTGAGCAAGACTGAGTCTCTACTAAATATAGAAAAACTAGCCTGGCATTGTGACAGGCACCAGTAATCCCCGCTACTTGGGAGACAAGGGGATCATTTGAGCCTAAGAGTTTGAGGTTGCTGTGCTCTGTGATGCCATGGCACCCTACCAAAAAAAAATAAAAATTGGCCTTTAAAATTATAGTTATTTGAGTACTCCTTCCAAAGTGAGAACTTTTGACCACATATATTTTTTCTATAGCAAGATGTATATATCTTAAATATTTTTTCTTCCTACATAATACATATTTTTTTCTTCTATAGCAAGGATTTAAAGGATTCCAAGTTGCTCCAGACCATCATAATGACCATAAGACTTTTATCTATAATAAGAGTGAATTCATCCTTACTCATGGTTCTGTGGTCATTGCTGCCATTACGAGCTGCACAAATACCAGCAACCCATCTGTGATGTTAGGAGCAGGTGAGTGCTTTTGACTCCATCCCATAGTCACATGGACATGGTGGTGGGACTCTCCCAAGACATCACCCAAGGTCTTAGCTGAGTTCCATGTGTAGTTAGTTTCATGAACCTTGTCTTTTCCAGAAACAGAGATCTATTGACCCAGATATATCTACACAGTAGATAGCGTCCAAAGCAAAGTAATTAATTAAAGTAGAATGCATAATGTGTAATAGTCTTTCTCTTGGGAATTAACACAGAAAATAAGTAGAAGAAAGCAAAGCAAGCTGAATTTCTAGTAAAGCCCTAGAATCTTGCATCAGATTATCATGTCATAGACTTTGTTCTCTGTCAACACCCTGAACAGCAGATCAGATTTTGATTTAGATGTGTTGGCAAGTGCATCTGAATTAGGGCATGGGGCAGTGGTGCACCTAACCTGTTATGCAATTCTGGTTAAGTAGTTAATATTTACATACAGGCTTCACTAATATTAAGTCTTTATAGGTTACAAGTTTTTAGCCATCCCCAGGAGCACTACTTATGTCTGTAGACAGCGTAAACAGTTCTTTTTTATGAAGCAGGCATGGAAATAAGGAAATCCCTCTTTGAGTCTTTCTGTTGTCACCTAAGCTTTCTTTGTCTGGAGCAAGCCAGTCTTCTTAGGACAAGTCACCAGCTTGTCTGTAGTTTTTAGTCCCTTTGTACTCCACCCCCACTTTTTTTCCTACTTCTGTGATACTTCCTGAGACAGCATCCAGTGTTCCAGGAACAGCCTGTGTCTCTGCCAAAATCCAATGGCCCAGGATGCTCCACTTCAAGAAATATCTGAAGACTAGATTTTGACTTCTCAGCTGACTATTCTTTGCCAACCAGTACACAATTGAAACATTATACTTTCAGAAAGGGACCCTCTCTAATTACGATTTCCATCCAGATCAAACATAATTAGAAAGATTACCTCTAAAAATTAAAACCCATTTTGCAATATATTTATAAGTGGTTTTTGGTTTATTGCTTTTTTATAAAAAGAAAATATATCTTTCTTGGAACTCTGAGTTTACTGTGTACGTGTGAATAACTTTGGGCCAGTGAGCTCTCTGTGCAGCGGCAGGAATGGTAGTAAGTGCTGTCATGAAAGGACTTTGTCAGGCTGTGGCAGGAAGTGCAGACTGAAAAATCAGGCTTGTTCCTACAGTGTCCCTGGCACCTAGCATAGGCAGCCACCCACACTTTGTGTTTGCCATTTCACAGGACTGTTAGCAAAGAAGGCTGTGGATGCTGGCCTGAATGTGAAGCCTTATATCAAAACTAGCCTGTCTCCTGGGAGTGGTGTGGTCACCTACTATCTTCGAGAAAGTGGAGTCATGCCTTATCTGTCTCAACTTGGGTGAGGGAGAATTTTCTTTCATACTGTTGCTTTGTTGCATTTTATTCATGTATATTGCTGTGTCACCATATAACATGTGTGCCCTTATCTGATGGTATCTAAGTGCATAATATTATATCAGATGGTAGATATAGATTTCACCCCTTACATTCCAACTAAACAGGGCCCTCTTTTGTTCAGTTGTTCATCATCCAAGGGCTCCCTCTAAGGGCAGAGCAAGGCTAAACTGAGCCTGTGCTCCGCTGTGGTGCTGCGCTCTCCTAAAGGAGAGGGGCATCTTTTCTCATTTGCACCAAGGTGTGAGATAACAGTGGCTCTGCAGCTAACAGTCTGCCTTTTGGTGTAAAAATAATTATTTACAATAACTAAAAGCATTCTAGTTCCTGAAGCAAATACATTTTGAAAAAATCTGTCCTTGGATGATTTTATCTTTGTTGGAACATCACAGAATGTACTTATATGAACTTAGATGGTATGGCCTACTGCACGCCGAGGCTATGTAGTATAGTCTATTGCTCCTAGCTGTAAACCTGTACAGCATGTTACTGCACAGAGTACTGTAGGCAGTTGTAACACAGTGCCATTTGTGTATCTAAACATATCTAAACATGGAAAGATAGAGTGAAAATATGGTATAAAAGATAAAAAAGAAATGGTACACCCACTTACCAGGAATGGAGCTTCCAGGACTGAAAGTTGCTCTGGGTGAGTCAGTGAGTAGTAAGTGAATGTGAAGGCCTAGGATGTTACTATACATCACTATAGACTTTATAACCACTATATAGGCTATTCTAAATTATACTATAAAATACACATTTTTTACTTTAGTAGTAAATTAACCTTAGCTTAACTTTTCTACTTGATAAATTTTTTGACTCATTTGCAATAACACTTAGCTCAAAACACAAACACATTGTACAGCTGTACCAAAGTATTTTCTTTATATCCTTATTCTTTTTTATTATTTGGAATTCATGGAGGGTACACTGATTGCATTTGTTAGGTAAAGTTCCTCTTATAATTGCGACCTGCCCCCAGGTTACTCGTTCCCCTACTCCCACCTTGCATTAGCTCATCTACTGCCTTCATATCAGAATTGAGTACATTGGATTCTTCTCCGTTCTGTGATGCTTTACTAAGACGAATATGTTTCAGCTCAATCCAGGTTAATACAAAAGATGTAAAGTCTCCATCTTTTTATTGGCTGCTGTGTTTATATCCTTATTCTTTTTTTTTTTTTTTTTTTTTTTTGAGACAGAGTCTCACTGTATCGCCCTCAGTAGAGTGCCATGGTGTCACAGTTCATAGCAATGTCAAACTCCTGGGCTTAAGCGATTCTTTTGCCTCAGCCTCCCAAGTAGCTGGGACCACAGGCGCCCGCCACAACACCAGGCTGTTTTTTGGTTGCAGTTGTCATTGCCCAGGCCGGATTCGAACCTGCCAGCCTTGGTGTATGTGGCTGGTGCCGTAACCACTGTGCTACGAGCACTGAGCCTATATCCTTATTCTATAAGCTTTTTTCTATTTTTAGAATCTTTAATTCTTTTTAAACTCTTTGGTTAAAACCTGAGATACACACTCACACATTAGCCTGCACCTAGGTCAGGATCATGAGTATCATCGTCTTCCACCTCCACATCTTGTCCCACTATGTGGTTTCCAGGGACACTAACACACATGCAGCTATCATTTCCTGTAATAATGATGAATATTCCTGAAGAACCTGCCTGAAGCTGTTGTGCAGTTAACTTTTTTTAAGTAACAAGGGTATACTCTAAACTAATAAAAAGTCATCATAGTGTGTCTATTTACAACAGCATACTGAGGTATGCAATGCATTGTAATTATAATACCTACAGTGTTACTAGGTGATAGCAACTTTTCAGCTCCATTATAATGAGACCAGTATCTACATGTGGACTGTCGTTGACCAAAATGTCTGCAGTGCCTGACTATATTAGTTGCCACATATAATTTCTCCAATTTTCATATTATTCTTAATGTGGATATCCTGCATTGTATTCACGTGTCTCATAGAATTCAAAGTTCCCTGGGATTATGTAATAATAGTGAAGAGAGACATTAAATAGCATATCTGGTTTCAACTTGTTAAAATTCTAGATCATGCAATTCAACTCCTTTCTGTAAGTAAAAACCATGAGAAGTAGTCTGAGATGTGCTTGTCGGATTGTGCTGGAGAGAGGAAGCGTTATAAGAAGAGCACTACAGTGACGTCATGTGCTGTGAGTCCAGTCTGCTCTGTGCCTCCATCTGGTCCCGGCAGGAGGGCTCACTGAAAGTTGTTCTTGTTTTTTGCTTCCCTTTTGTTCTCCAGGTTTGACGTGGTGGGCTATGGCTGCATGACCTGCATTGGCAACAGTGGGCCCTTACCTGAACCTGTAGTAGAAGCCATCACACAGGTAAATTACAGTGGGGCCCAGAGGTCTTCAGACCTGTGGTTTCTTCTCACATAAGGTGTGACCAAAACCAAGGTAATTTTAGGAAGGTCCATGGAAGCAGAGGATGTGGTTAAGAGTATGGTCTTTGGAGCCACTTAACCTTGAGCAAGTTAATCAACCTATTTGTTCTTCTTAAGTTTCCATAACTTGGGAGAAGGTATCGGTATCTGTTTTACAAGGTTGTGAGAATTAAGATGATGATGAACATAAAACAGTGCAGTGCCCGACACATAAGTGCCCCGTACATGCTAGTGTTGACTACAAAGGGCTCTAGAATTGTTTGATACTGGTAATTTGAAAAATTGGTTCAGGCTGGGCCCAGTGGCTCACATATGTTATCCTAGCACTCTGGGAAGCTGAGCCAAGAGGATCACTTGAGATCAGAAATTAGCCTGAGCATGAACAAGATCCCATCTCTACAAAAAAAATAGAAAAATTAGCCAGGCATCGTGGCAGGGGCTGGTAGTCCCAGCTATTCAGGAGACTGAGGCAGGAGGACAACTTGAACCCAGGAACTTGAGGTTGCTGTGAGCCAGACTGACTGACACATGACACTCTAGCCTGGAAAACAGTGAGACTCTGCCTAAAAAAAAAAAGACCAGGAAAAGAAAAGAAAAAAGTGGCTCAAAATCAGACAAGTTTCTGCACAAATTGTACTGGCTTTTGTCCCCAAAATTCTGTAGTCTTGAAAAATACTAATTGGTTAGCTTCGCATTATTTATAGAATCTGTATGTCATTGTGGCTTCCATTAGCTCTCATCTTTTAGTCTTTCCCATCTGATCTTGGGCCTCAGGCAGAAATAACTAGGATGTTGCCTTCTGACCTATCTGGTGTAGGTCTTTTTTTTTCTTTTTTAGAGACAGCGTCTCACTTTGTCGCCCTTGGTAGAGTGCCATGGCGTCACAACTCACAGCAAACTCCAGCTCTTGGGCTTAGGCAATTCTCTTGCCTCAGCCTCCCAAGTAGCTGGGACTACAGGTGCCCACCACAACACCCAGCTATTTTTTTGTTGTTGAAGTTTGGCTGTGGCTGGGTTCAAACCTGCCACCCTCAGTATATGAGGCCAGCACCCTACTCTGAGAGTGAATAGTCACAGCGTACTCACTGAGCCTACACCACCCTGGTGTAGGTCTTGAGCAATAATTACTGAATATGTCTCTACTTCTTTTGATCCAGAGTATCTCTCATAGAGACACCCCTTTGGACCCATTTCCCCTGCTGTAGGAGAGGACCAAATGAAGGGGCAGCTTAAAGAGTTACATCCATATGATGGGAAAACTATTGTAAATGGTCCAAGACAATAAGCGTAGTCAATCTCTTTTTTCTGTAATCCGATTTTTCTCTTGCCTTACCCAGGGAGACCTTGTAGCTGTTGGAGTACTATCTGGGAACAGGAATTTTGAAGGTCGAGTCCACCCCAACACCCGGGCCAACTATTTAGCCTCTCCCCCCTTAGTAATAGCCTATGCAATTGCTGGGACCATCAGAATTGACTTTGAGAAAGAGCCATTGGGTAAGATTTTGTTTGCATGGCCATAATTATTTTCTAGCAAATTTCAAAATAATACTACAAAAAAGTTGCTGCTTTCTTTAAGAAAAAAATGAAATGTAGATTCTCTTGTGATAAGAAAGAGAAGAATCTTTTCCATTTACAGCTAAGACATAACTGAAGTAATTAAGCAGAAATCTGTCAGGGGTAAGGAATGACAAAGCTCTCATACTATAAACAAGTGTCTTTTTCACAGATTATGTAGTGCCTTGGTTTTCACATTTGTGTGCTTTTTATAATGATTTCACCATTTAAAAGGGCCCCTGCACGTAGTCTTGAAGTGCTGTCTGGTGCCACTAAGTACAGGAAGACAGCTGTGGGCCTTGCATTTAGACAAGCATCATTCAGGCGTGAGTTACTGTGCTGCTGGCTATTAAGTCCAATATTAATGAGTCAAAAGCATGTATTAAATAATGTGTCTTTAAACAGAAGCACATATAAAACAGGCTGTTTATTGATCTATGTATTGATCATTTGAAAAAAGCATGACCAGAGGCTTGTAGGAATCTAACCGTGTATTTCCCTTAAGGATGATGATTCCTATGCACCAATTCAGTGTTTCCGCCTGCTTTGTAGGCTGTAACTACTTGGGGTGGGAACTTGCAGGGGTCTAGATCTGAAGTGTGCCCTTCCTGACTGAATCCTTAAGTGCAGCCTTTTGACTAAATCCAAATTTATAGAACAAATTCAGTCAAAGGGGCCTTCTTAAGGATCTAGAAGGGCACATGTGGCATACAGGTCCCAGGTTCCCCACCCTGACCGAGAAGAAAGAGACTTGATTGTGCATAACAATGAAAATGTATTGGAAAGTTTTTTTTCCATTCATAAACATTTTTTTCCCAGGAGTAAATGCAAAGGGACAACAGGTATTTCTGAAAGACATCTGGCCAAGCAGAGATGAGATCCAGGCGGTGGAGCGTCAGTATGTCATCCCTGGGATGTTTAAGGAGGTCTATCAGAAAATAGAGGTGAGGTCCCTCCCACACTGCCTCTCCCCCAAGCCCCCCAGAGTTCTAAGGGGAAGCCACTGCTTTGTGGCTACAGACCTTGAGGCTCTTGGGAGTGTGAACTAGAAAAAGTAACATTTATTTCTTCTGATAACTGGGGACGTGATTCTTAATCATTTATTTCCCCATGACACACATTTTTACAAACCCCACATCCCCCACATGTTTCCAGATTTAGACAGCCTCAAGAAGGAGGACTCCAGTTCAGCTCTCTATGACTCTATCTCTTCTTCAGACACCTAGGTGTGTGTGTGTCTGCTCTGGTGAGAACCCTTGATGGGCACTATATGGTGTCAGTGAGGTGAAGTTAATTGGTTGAATGTACCTCTCAAAATGTATTATTTGCATGCTTAAAAAAAAAAAACTAAGACCACACAGTAGGAAGCACCAAACTCCATTTATTTTACAAAGGGGGCTCAGGATCATTTATGAGGCTCCTAGATGTTATGCCTTGCCCTGCCTTCTGTGTTCCTGCAGACTTGGGGCTGGTAGTCTTCAGATAAAAGCAGAACTGTCTGGGGTGAGGGTGATATGGCGGTGATATTCACACACTGCACTTTCTTCAAGCTGCTCCTTGGGAAATGGTGTTTGGGAGCTTGGTAGGCGCTGGGTTAAATATGTTTCTCCAACAGCTGAGTTAATGGACTGGACAGAATTCAAGCCAATCTTAATGCATAAGCAGCTGTCATTTGCTATCCAGACCATGCTATCCCTTGCTGCATGGGTATGTTCACTAATCTTAGACCTAGTCCCTAGGGTCAGTCCAGCATCTGTGTGACTTAGAAGTCTACTTCCCAAAACATTTAGAGAGTAATTTCCCCTTTGGTACAATCTGGGTTATTATTTCACAAATTATTTATAATTATCTGTATTAGTTATCTATACCTGTGTAACAAATTACCCCAAGACTCAGTGAATTGAAACAGTGGACATTTATTCCTCTCTTAGTTTCTGTGGGGGAGAATGCAGCTTCCCTGGGTACCTCCACAGGGCTGCAGTCTAGACTTCATTTGGGGCTACAGGCTCCGGGGAGGATCCACTTAGGCTCACTCATGGTTGTTGGCAGGATCAGGCTCCTCACGGGCTGTTAGACTGAGGTTCTTAGTTCCTCACTGGCTGCTAGCTAGTGCCTTGCTGCATGGGTCTGTTGACATCAGAGCAAGTGGGCAGGAGAGGGCTAGAGAGACAGAGACAGATTTCTTTGTAACCTAACCTTAGAGCTCGTCCCTTGGGTCAGCCCACACTCAACAGGAGTGGGTCACATCAAGGTGTGAGTCCCAAAAGGCTGGCTCATGTTCAATGTCTTAGAAGCAGCCCATCACAGGGCATAGGGCATTGTTAAGTTACTGAGCATGATGTAATCTGAATATAAGGAACTCTTGTGTGTAACTATTTAGAATAAAATTGGCTTTTATTATACAACTTAGCTTAAATTATATTTTATGTTTGCCCATTAAATTTTCCCGAGAATGGAATGTAATTAGATCTGCTTGTCTTTTCCCTTTTTTCTTCTATTAATTAAATTATTTACTTATTTTTATTTAAGACTGTGAATGAAAGCTGGAATGCCTTAGCAGTCCCGTCAGATAAGCTGTATTTCTGGAATCCCAAATCTACCTACATTAAATCACCACCATTCTTTGAAAACCTGGTATGACGTTTTATTTTAACAAAACAAGTTCTTCAAAAGATTTAGGTTGTTATAAAACCTATTTTATTACCCTATTCCCTTTCTTTGACGACCCATTTCTTTAAAACCTTTGTAAACCCAAGCAGATAAGGCTGGCCAGAGACTGGGGAGGCTGGGATATTTAGCTACAGTTTCCCAGTAACATATGAGGGACTATTCCAGGAGAATATCCCCCTAGGTGTGCCATATTGATTCTTATACCCATAAAAATGGGAAACATCTTCCCTGAAACTGATGATCAAGAAGTCCATGCTCCCTGAGTGGGTCACTGTGATAAAGGGATGGCTGTAGAAGTTGGATTCCATTGTCCTTAGCATCCGAGGAGTTCCGTGGATGGCATTTGCAGTCACATTCCTATGGCTTCTGGGGGATAGTGCCAGCACTTTGTATTTTCTTCAAGGTTCAGATATGAATATTGGAGTAAATGTATCTTATTTTTCTCAACATCCCTAATAAAACCCAGAAACTAGAATTTTCCATGCTTCATGTAGAGGTGTCATCTGGTTAAGTCTATGGCCCACCACTGTTGAGACTCGCTGGTGACTTGTTTGGGGAAACCTGAGCCAACGCTGACTTGTTGTACTCTTTGCTAGACTTTGGATCTTCAGCCACCTAAATCTATAGTGGATGCCTATGTGCTATTAAATTTGGGAGACTCAGTAACAACTGACCACATCTCTCCAGCTGGAAATATTGCAAGAAATAGCCCTGCTGCTCGCTACTTAACTAACAGAGGGTAGGTATGAAAGTCCCAGGCTCTGCTCTTATCTTGTAGCAGACCCTGGTTATGCCTGAGGCCTAGGGCACAAATAGAACTTCAAAGGCATTACCATGGCCTGTTTCAGAGGCTTAATGCTTTTAGAGAACTGCTACAAGGATTTGCAGTTTACTTATCTATTCATCAACCATGCATATACTGATATTAATAGGTGTTATGTGACCTAGTATACCAATAATAATGAAGGTCAGTGGTTCCCCAATCTGATTTTCAACAGGAGTTATGTGGGGAGATAAAAATTCCTGCTTCTGGCTGGGCACGGTGGCTCATGCCTATAATCCTAGCACTTTGGTAGTCTAGAGGAAGGAGGATCACTTGAGACCAAGCGTTCGAGACCAACTTGAGCAAGAGCAAGACTCCATCTCTTCAAAACAAAAATATCATCCTGGTGGATGGTATGCGCTTATAGTCCCAGCTGTTCAGGAGGCTGAGGCAAGAATATCATTTGTACCCAGGAGTTTGAAGTTGCAGTGAGCTATGATGATGCCACTGCATGCTAGCCTGGGTGACAGAGTGAGACTGTCTTAAAAAAAACTCCTAGTTCCTACTCCCATCTCCTGAACTGACTCCTTTAGGGATAGGGTCCAGGGCAAATTTGAGGAACAAAATCCAAATACCTTTTTTTCTGTGGGCGATTCTTGATTCCTTTTAAGACATGAACTCTTTAGAATTGAGTGAAAGTAAATATAATGCCTTTCCAGAAAAATGCACACATTTAAAACATTTTGGATACAGTTTTAGGGGGTCCTGGACATTCTCACTTGTTCCTAAAGGCCGTTCATAACTCTCTCAATCCTCAAATTAGATCTAACCATTAAATCATATTAACATTCACACCCACCTCTAGAATTTGTATGAACAGCCTACTGAACTGCTAACTGTGTTAATTGTAATGTTGTTCTTGACATCACAAGCTTTCCTTTCATTGGGGCCCACAGACAAGATTTTCCTCTGGTTTCAGAACCAAAAATATCTGCTGCGCAATACTTTGATTTTTATCTTATGAAAGCTGCACATTACACAGACAGTTGTGTGTCTTCCCATTGCATTGAGTTTCTGATAACTTGGAGATGAATTTGAACTTATTTCTGTGGACATATTTTAAATTTCCTACTATTCCTGGTTCCATCTGATTTCTCTACCCTCATGATACTCTTTACTTCCACTTTCTTATTTGTAGTTTAGCTTCTTACCTCATATGAAGCTTTATATAGGCCATCCTATTGAATAAATAACCAGAACTCTTTTTTTTTTTTTTTTTTTTGAGTTCCTCCTGATGTTTTCACCCAGATGTGAAAGATTGTAAGTTGACGCCAGGAGGAAACTGATTTCCCCTTTCACCATGTGCACTTCTCATCTCTCACCTCTCACACTGCCCTTCATCAAGAATATGGGGACAGCTTTTCTGCCTTCAAGAATAATGCTTAGTAAATTTAGTAAAATAGATTTACAGTTTTTTCTGTTCTTGGGATAAGCTAAGTTTAATCTTCACTTGTTCCACTAAACTAGCTTCTTTCCTGCTTGTGTTATTAGCCTGACTCCACGAGAATTCAACTCCTATGGCTCCCGCAGAGGTAATGACGCCATCATGGTACGGGGGACATTTGCCAACATTCGCTTGTTAAACAAATTTTTAAACAAGCAGGCACCACAGACTATACATCTACCTTCTGGAGAAGTTGTGAGTATTGTCTCTTCTGCTTCCTGCAGAAACGAGTGTTTGTCAGTCTCTGGGAGCTTGGAGATTTACACAGTTTTTCTCCTTCTGATTTTAGTATTTCTCCACAGCTCCAATCTACCTCTCACTTTCTGTAGTCCTGTCTTCTCCTTCTTGTTTAGAGATTCTGCACCATGGTTTAACTAAGTCTCATTTCTTGGGTATTAAGCTTAAAAAGTCTTTGAGTGAAATTTTGTCAGAAGTATCAAGAAGTACTACTGCGTGAGTTTATTAGCATGTAATTAATTCATTGTATCCACTATGGAAAGAAGGAAGTAGAGGCCCTTGGGGGCCTGCTGGGCTCCAACAGGGGCCTTTGGAGTTGGTGGGATTGTTCCCTGGTAGGAAAATGTGGGAGATGTGGGGAAGGCCTGTGCCCTGAGTCAGACAAATCTAGGTTTAAGTCCCAACTCCACCTCATATGGCCGTGGCACCTTCTGCAAGTTACTTTCCTCACAGAGCCTCATTTTTCCTGCCTGTGAAGGAAAAATAACACCTGAGGCTTGGAATGAAGTGGAAAGACTTGTAAAAGCCTAGAGCGATGTCTGGCACGTGTTATACGTCTTCAGAGTCACTTCCCTTCCCAGTGAATGCTGTGCAGCTTTCTGTAAGCCATTTATCCTGCTAGAGAAATAACTCTTGCCAATTTATTTTAAAATAGTAACAACTGGGTGGTGCCTGTGGCTCAAAGGAGTAGGGCATTGGCCCCATATCCCAGAGGTGGCGGGTTCAAACCCAGCCCAGGCCAAAAATAGTAACAACTAATATTTCTACAGAACTTAATACACTACAGGTACTCTCCCAAGCTCTTTGCACGCATTGACTTATTTAAGGCTCGTAACAACCCTTTGAGGTATGTCCATGATTATCTGTGTTTTAAATCGAGAGCCTGAAGCTTGGATCATGTCACTCCTTAAGGTGGTACAGTGGAAAAGCTGAGGTTAAACCCCAAAAAGTCTGGTTCTGAAGTCAGTGCTCTTTACCACTCTCCATGCTGCCTTGCTCATAACTGATCATATTTTTGAAAAGCAAACTCTTTCTTCATAGTCAGTCATTGGTCACTAGGGCCTAGCTGATGTATTCTTGTTCAATGAATAGCAGGGATAATAGACTATTAAATGAAAAAGACATATATTGAACAATGGAATACCCAAGAGGCCAAGGGGAAAGACTTGCAGTGACAGACACTGGGGGCTCCCAAAAAACCATCCCAGTGTACCCTCTTTGTAGACCAGATGTCTGACTGGTTGGGTGGCCATTGGCTTCACACTGACTTGGCCATCTGCAGGCCCTTCCATTGTCATCTGGGCTGGCAGAGTGTTGTCATTCCTGCCCTTTGAATGTGCTGGGTCTATAAAACCTACCTTGTCTCCTCCTCAGCTTGATGTGTTCGATGCTGCTGAGCGGTACCAGGAGGCAGGCCTTCCCCTGATTGTCCTGGCTGGCAAGGAGTATGGCTCGGGCAGCTCCCGAGATTGGGCAGCCAAGGGCCCTTTCCTGCTGGTGAGTATGAGGCAGAGCCGTCCCAGCAGGCAGTTGCCCCTCCGAACTGGTAGGGAAGCAGGGAGAGTGCCAGGAATTAATTCTGTGGGGTCACTTCCCAAGAAGATGTCACGGGACAGCAAGCTCCAAAAAGATGCTGTTTTCTCACCTGCTTTTTGGTGAATCTGAATTGATTTCACTCACTAATGGGTGATTGAGAGAGAACTGCTTCCCTTACATCAAACATTCATATCTGGACCTTTGGAGATGTCTGTAAATGGTTTGGGGGGTGGGTCTGTGAAGTCTCTGAAAATATACCCAGAAGTGTACATGTAGTCTTTTTCCATAGGGAGAAGTGTCATGGTTTTCATAATATTCTAAGGTTGAGAACCCTAGATTTATTTAAGGGCACTGTCCCAGGTGTGTAAGGAGTAAGCCAGGGCTGTTATCTTGTCTATTGTGTTCACAGACAAGTAAGGAGCCAGGACTTTTTTTACAAGTTATTCTGGTGAGATTGAGTTCTGGTTCTCTTGAGCAAACTAGGAGGATATGCTTTTTACAGTTGCTTTTTACTGCCTATGAGAGTCTGCTAATGGGCCTGGTGCAGTGGCTCATGCCTATAATCCTAGCACTCTGGGAGGCCGAGGCTGGTGGATCACATGAGCTCAGGCATTTGAGACTAGCCTGAGCCAGACTGAGACCCCCATCTCTAAAAATAGCCGGGTGTTGTGTGGGCACTTGTGGTCCCAGCTACTTGGGAGGCTGAGGCAAGAGAATCACTTGAGCCCAAGAGTTTGAGGTTGCTGTGACATATGATGCCACGGCACTCTACGGAGGGCGACAAAGTGAGACTCTGTCTCCAAAAAAAAAAAAAAGTCTGCTTATGATACTCAGTGAAAAAGGGAGTCTCTCTCTATCCATAGCCAGGCAGTTCCTTAGAACCTTCAGCCATCTCAGTTCCTTCTTGAGCTGTCACTATAAGAGTGGCCTTGAAGGGGGCAGGGTTTTACCTCTTGAGCATTTACTTGCCTTCAGAGCAGAGAAGAATCATACTGCCCATCTTTAATCCTCGGGATACAGGAAAAATGGCTCAGCTGATGCCGCTGTCAGTCATCTATAGCTTGAGTGAATTAATGCACCTGGGAAACTGTAGGGGATACCTGTAAGGGCAGTAAAAACAGCTGCCTGGCAGGCAGCCCTGCAGACATCTAGACCTCTGAAGACGTCTTTGAACATTACACCTATTGTTTTTTTCGGGGGGGGGGGGAGTGTTCTCTGATTAGCTGATCAGTAGATCAAAGGCCTACTTTTTTTTCCTAGAAGCTACTAAAAACCTGGGAAATTATAGGTGAAGAAAATTAGTAGGATGGTGAGGCTGTCAATATAAATGAGTGCTCAGGTGGAGAACCCTGAAATCTGATAGGGGATGAGAAGAGAACTGGCCCCAAAGAGGCTCTCTAGAGTCCAGACCTCTCCGCAGAACCAGTGAGTTCTGGCTGCCTAGGAAGCTGAACACACTTTGGCTCTGTAGCTGTCCTGAGTAGGTCACTCACAGCTATCAGACTGTGCTCAGGAAAGAGCAGAATGGACAGCTTGATTTACAGCATCTGTAACACATCACAGCCATTCAACAGAGCTGTGGCCGTGAGCAGTGTGTGTTCAGAAAGCTTTCCACTGGCCCAAAACATACACATGCAAACATAAAGCCCTACAAAACATCTGTTGTCCTAAGGAATCTGCCTATCTCTATAGCAGTGGTTCTCAAATTTGGAAGTGCTCTTTTTTTTTTTTATACCTAGATTTAGATCTCATCCCCAGAGATCCTCTTTTAATTGGTAAGGAGAAAGGCCTGGACATTAGGATTTTAAGTCTTCCCTGGCGATTCTAATATGCAGCAAAGTTTGAGAACTTGACCTCTTCTGCTCCATGATCCCTGAGAGAGCGTCTGGTATATAGTGCTTGAGAATCTACTTTTTTAACAGGTTCCCAAGTGACCCTGATGTAGGGTATCTTAAAAGTTTGTGCTAGATATCAAGAGACCTTTTAATTTTAAAATTCTATTATAATTATTAATAAATTAATGAGTTCTAATTAGTAAAGTAACTTTCTTTATTGATTGTTGCTATATATTGCTCAATTATAGAGTACCAACAAAATGTACTTCATAGGAAGCTTAATATCAAGACTATCTTCAACACAATTTGATACTTGAAATACAAGTATAAAAGCACTATGCAGTAGGTAATCATTCAGTTTATCTGTAGTATGTTCTGAAAATTGGTTTTTGATTACATTTTCTGTATCTGTTGATATACCCAAAATAATAGAAAAATTCAAGAGAAAGAAAATTAATGTTGTCTTGTAGCGTGGATTCCAGATACAATGGAAGCTTGCTAAGAGATCTTGTATCACATAGTCAGACTACATGGCTTCAAATGCTAAATATCACCACTGACCCTTGAGTAAAGGAGGACAGTAGTGGCATCAGTGTCCCATGACTGGGAGAGGGGAGAGTAAGAGAAGTCATTAAGTGCTTACATAGTTCCTGTTAGTTAAGACTAGCTATCATGTTATTTATAGTCAGAGAATTAACATTTTATGTAAAAGATTAGTGGGTACTTTTAAAGAATTTAGGTTTGGGCTTGGCCACATGCACTAGGGCTGATGGGTTTGAACCCAGCCTAGGCCTGCTAAATAACAACAACAAAAATAGCTGGACATTGTGGTGGGTGCCTATAGTTCCAGCTACTAGGGAGGCTGAGGCAAGAGAATTGCTTGAACCCAAGTGGTTGGGGTTATTGTGAGCTGTGACGCTGTGGCACTCTACAAGGGGCAACATAGTGAGACTCTGTCTCAAAAAAAAAAAAAATTTAGGTGTGAGAACAGTTCTGACTTAGAAAGTCATTTGTAAAAGTTCTGTGTATTCAAAGGAAAAAGTGGAAGTGTGTCCAGACCACTACCTTTATTCATCAGGGAATCAAAGCTATCCTAGCGGAGAGTTATGAGCGCATTCATCGCAGTAACCTGGTCGGGATGGGGGTGATCCCCCTTGAATATCTGCCTGGTGAGAATGCAGACACTCTGGGACTCACAGGGCGGGAGCGATACACTGTCATCATTCCAGAAAACCTCACACCACGAATGAAAGTCCAGGTCAAGGTAAGCAGAGCATCTCCATACCTGGCCCCTCCAAAAGGGGCCCTTCATAATCAATCTTGTTGAAAGGAAATTAGCGGGACTTGGAAGAATGTATCACTCAGTAGGACTGCAGTAGACTTTGGAGTCCTGCCAGCATGTTTTCTGCCTGCTCGCCCGACATAGTGAGGATGACATCTGTGCATTTATTATTTCTCTATTTATAGAGTTATCCTCAGTCTGCTCTTACCTTCCATCACCACCCCACTATCTCCTATTTCTGAGTCTCACTCAGCTTACATAATCATGGTGAGAGCTCAGGGGTGTGACATTTTCATATTACCTAAAAAGCTTTTTATATAAAACTTTGAGCAACACTCACCCCTTCCCAAAGCTTCCCCCTAGCCCTCAGGCTTTGAATGACAGATCCTAAGGCAAGGAAAGGATGAAGTGCCCAGTGCCAAGGTCCCAGGATAGTCATCCAGGCAGAGATAGCCCCTGAGGTCTTCATCTCAGGGTGAGCAGCTGGGTCAGCTGCCTAAGGGACCACCTCAGTGGCACCTGCTGACCCAAGACATCTCTGCTCATGGGGAGCCCCCAGAGGTTTGGAAAATGTCAAGTACAAGTAACTGTACTGACAGGCTCTCTCTAGTTCCAAATACTGCTCTCCTACATCATTCCCAGCCTGCATCTGGGCCACAGCCTTGTGTGTCCTCTGGTGCTGCTGGCCACTGCAATGTGGATGCCTCCCTGAGGCAGGCTGGGTAAATCTCCCCTGCCAAGCGTCTTGCTGCTTCCCTCAGTGATTCATTGCTTCTTTGTGCCGCAGCTGGATACTGGGAAGACCTTCCAGGCTGTGATGAGGTTCGACACTGATGTGGAACTCACTTACTTCCACAATGGAGGCATCCTCAACTACATGATCCGCAAGATGGCCAAGTAGACCCTTGTTGCTTATGAGACCTGCGCTTGGCGCTGCACCCAGGAAGAAGCCATACCGTCAGCCAGCCGAGGCCTTGGTGGGGAAGCCTTCCCAAGTGGTCCACAGAGGGGTGCTACCCACAGACGGAGCGAGTGAGCACAGGGGTTTGGGTGCTATTCCTGCAGGCACAAAGCCAGGAGTTTCTACGTTCTCTATTTTTGTTAATCTTCTTAATCTTTTTCTAGAATTTGAAAGCTAGAAATGATGGAAATGTCAGTAGTGCCAGAAAGAGAACCAAGCTTGTCCTTAAACTTACTGATCACAGGACATTGATTTTTCTCTCTTACTTATTAATCTATAATCAGCTGAATGCAAACGAGACTTCTCAGAAGGTGTCTTCTGCCGTTTTGACTGTTCCTCTCTCATCTCTGCTCAGTGAAATTTTTCCCGTGATGGTCATTTTCCTTTCCACATTCTACCAATGTAAACTAACATGGATAGATGAAAACTTTGCACATTTCCAGTCATAATAGTGATTGTGCTTCTCCCCCACCCTGTTTTTCCTTCGGAGTGAATGATCTAAATACTCGTGGATGGGTCAGATGTTGAAGTTTTTTGATAGATCAACATAAAAAGAAATATGAAGTTTTCTTCTACTATCACAGAACTTTTGCCCAGAAAATCATTTGTCAAGAGACCTTTGTTTAGACATGGTTTGGGAGACTGACACAGAACATTTCTAATATGAATAAGATTAAATCTATTTTCAGTGAAAATGTGTTGTCTTTGGAATTGCATTTTGTTGTATAGGGGGCTGTAGTTTTGGGATATTTAGATCAGAGCAAGTAGCCCGAATGACCTTCATGTTCTGCTTTTGTGCTGTGTCAGATCTGTACAGGTACAATAGAGTGTAGAGAAACCAGTATGTTCTCTGCCCTGTTGGGAAAAGACAAGAAGGAATAGTAGCCTGGTAGCGGTAGCAGTGGTGTAAGTATAGTGAGAAAATCAGAGAGGTTCAGTGCCTGAAGTTTATCTGTTTATTTTCATCACTGAAGTCATTTCAGTGCATGCCTTACTTTGCTCAGGCTGCCAAAACAAAATACCATTGCTTAAACAACAAAAATTTATTTTCTCATGGTTCTGGAGCCTGAAAGTCCAAGATGAAGATGGTAGCCATTCAGTTTCTGCTGAGGGCTAGGCTCTCCTGCTTGCAGGTACCCATCTTCTTGCTTATCCTCACACGGCCTTTCCTTGATGGCATGCCTGGGGAGCAGGGGACAGAGAATGAGAGAGAGAATGGGCTCACTGAAATCTCTTCTTACAAGGACGCTAACTGTAAGAAATCAGAGTCTCTTCCTTATGACCTCACCTAACCTTAATAACTTTCTTAGAGGGCCTGTCTCCAAATACAGCCACTCTAGGGGGTTGGGGCTGCACTACAGGACTTTGGTGGGAACATAGACACTCACTGCATAACAGGGTGAGTTACAAATTAATCTCCTTGCAGTAATTTTTTTTTTTTTTTGGAGACAGAATCTTACTCTGTTGCCCCAGGATAGAGTTCCGTGACATCAGCCCAGCTCACAGTTCCAACTCCTGGGTTTAAATGATCCTCCTGCCTCAGTCTCCCATGTAGTTGTGACTATAGGTGCCAGCCACAATGCCCACCTAATTTTTCTATTTTTAGTAGAGATGGAGTCTTGGTCTTGGTCAGGCTGGTCTTGAACTCCTGAGATCAGAGGATTATACCATCTTGGCCTCCCAGAGTCCTAAGATTATAGATGTAAGCCTCCGCACCTGACCCTTCCCCTTCTTTTTATATACCACCTGGCCTCAAGAGGTCTTCAGAAAGACCCATATGTTTGAAATCTTAACCCCCATGGTGATTGCTATTGGAGGTAAGGGTCTTTGGAAGGTGATTAGGTCGTGGGGGTAGAGTTCTCATGAATGAGATGAGTGCCTTTTTTTTTTTTTTTTATAGAGACAAAGTCTTTATTTATCGCCCTTGGTAGAGTGCCATGGCATCACACAGCTCACAGCAACCTCCAACTCCTGGGCTTAGGTGATTCTCTTGCCTCAGCCTCCCAAGAAGCTGGGACTATAGGCGCCAGCCACAACGCCCAGCTATTTTTTTGTTGCAGTTTGGCTGGGGCCGGGTTTGAACCCGCCACCCTTGGTATCTGGGGTGGGCGCCCTACTCACTGAGCCACAGGTGCCGCCTGATTAGTGCCTTTTTAATAGACGCCCAAGAGAGACCCTTCATCTCTTCTAGCATGAGAGGACACAGCAAGTGACATCTATGAACTAGAAAGTGGGCCCTCACCAGACACCGAGTCTGCCAGTGCCTTGATCTTAGACTTCTCAGCCAGAAGGATGAGAGATAAATTTCTCCTGTTTATAAGCTACCCGGTCTGATATTTTGTTACATCTGAACAGGCTAAGACAATTATAAAGGAAAGATTCTTAGGGCTATGACTCCTGGAATTGAATCTCTTCACTTCTGGACTGCAGCCCCCTCCCCTCCACGTACACCCTCTGTCCTTCATGTTAACAAAGTATCTTGACCAGTGTCCCATCCTTGCCCACAAACCTCTTTCACCTGGTTCCTTAAGAAGAGGTTAATCTTTATCCTATCCAAATTAAAAGTATATTGCCCTTGCTGGTCTAAGCACCTCCTTCCACTATATGAGATTCCCATCTTTGTTCTTAGTTTTCCAAATCCATTAGTACCTAATCTTTCCTAGAGAAAAAGAGGCCTTCCTGGCATCCACAGTGAGTTAAGTGGCAAATATTCAATGCAGCAAATAAGGACATGCATTTTGGCTATGGGATGGCCTTCATGCATGTACACATACCACGTTTTTATGGTGCATACCTTAAAAGGGGAAGGATATGTTAATCATGACTCAGTTACAGTGGAAGAAGCACAACTCAGACTGGCTTAAGCAATGATAATTGGCTCATGGAACTTAAACAGTGGTAGCACTGGCCTCGGCTGTGATTTGAACTAGTGTTTCAAACTCAGGCTCCCTCCCCATCTTTTACCTTCTCATCTTTCCTTCTATTGATGTGTGTGATGGCCTCATTCTTATGGGCCCTTCCATGTGCCAGGAGATGTGGCCACCAGCCCCTCTAGGGTGACAATAATTTGTGACCTTAGAGATTTGTCTCCCAGTATTATCTAGGGAAAAGCACTAGGAGTTTCTGTCACCCAAATGAAGAGTCTTATCTTGGGCAGTGTCCTTTTCAGAGCTATATTAGTACAGCATGGAACAAAACATGGGGTTAGCAGGAACAATGCAAAACCACTTCTGAAAAATAGTAACCAAGGTTCTACTGGGCTGCCTTCCTAGAAAATTGACCACAAATGGAATTTAGTGCCCAGCTAAGTTTTTGTTGAGCCAGGCAGCCTAATTATGAGCAAAGATTATAGAATCATAGCTGATACTCTTATTAACAGTTTTAAAAGTCAGCATCCCATGAGCTGAGGTACATAGCTGAGTACAGATTTGTTGAATGAAATTAATAGTTTTATTCTGTGGTATAATGAAACAGAGTTCCTGGCATGATCCTGAAGTTAATTCTCAGATTTTGCCCTGGTTGTCTAGTCTGTATGCAGCCTAGGTATTTGGTATGGTGCTTCTACACGATGTTAACAGTGTCCCATGAATAAAAAGGGTTCCGAGTACAATTAGGGAACCACTGAGTTATATGGGTCTCACTACTCAAAACTGACACAATGCCAACCTGTGCTGTAACACAGTTTGCAGGGAAGGGTGGCAGCATATGGCACAGAAATCCACCTGACTGTGGAGAGCTTTCTTCTGGGCTTCTCACAGCACAGTGCTGTGCTGAGGAAACACCCACTTACAGTTGTGGTTTGAAACTCACATAATAATCCATCTTAAAGATAGGAATCAATTTGCTGACCTTGTTAAAGATGACTTTTCATTTCAGGGTGAAAACATCACAATGTCAGCACCGGCTGGGAGCATAGATATAAAAACTCTGCTATAGATATAGCAGGTTGTACCTACACCACCTGAGGCACTTTAAAACATACTTATGACTAGACACCCTGCTGGGATGCTCTGAGGCTAGCCATGTGTCCATGAAAAAGACTCCGGAGTTGGTTCTGAGATGCAACCTTTGATCTAGAAAGACAATAACCAACAATTAGCTGTCAAGAGACAGCACTTCCTAGAACCCTGGCTACTCAAGTTTTTCATTCAACACCATTAACCAAGTGTGCACTCTGGTCCAGAGGCCATGCCTGCAAAGGCATTACTGCATTTAAAAGTCAAACAAGGAAAGTCTCACTTTTTCTTGTAGCAGCTTTAGTGTACTTTCCTCTGTTGGCTGAAGACTATTCACCTTAATTCAAACTGAACCATTTAGATAACTTTTAAAAAGTGTCTTCTGAAGTAGATTTCTAACAGATGTTTTACATCTTCTGTTGGCGTTCTTAAACAATAGCAATATAAACAGCAATCATATAAAAGAGATACTCTAATAAAATAATGGAAAATGAAAAAAACAGCTATCAGCAAATTAGCTTAAATCCCATTTTTATTGTATTTTCCTAAGAATACACTAGTAATTTATCAAGCAGCTACTGTATATCATGTAATTTTCATACATTTTTATTGAAAACCTTCCATTAACCTTTGACAAGTTTCTCTGGCTCCCTGCCCAAACCACTGCTCCTGAGATCACATGGAGAGGGAGGCAGCTATACTGTGTCACCTCACTGATGTCCAGGGTGGATCTGCAAAGTCTGGGTGGCAGCTGTGCCTTGCTTGGATGATCTCCAGATAGCTCTCAGATGTAAGTAGGTGCTACTTAAAAAGAGTTATGTGGACATATGTGTTGAACATAGTACTTTACCATCTTTGGAGTTTTGTTTTAGCCATTCATGGTCCTGATGAATTACAAACCAGTCATCTGAATCTGTTTCAGGAAGACAGTTTAATTACTATAGAGCCTTCCCTGAACACAAAATACCTAACCAAGCTCTCCGAAGCATCAACAAACCTAGCTAAGTGACATAGAAATGTCCTTTAGACAAATAATTTTCTAAAGGAAGGACAGCCAAATCAAACTGCCTCATCACTCCCATCCAAGGGACCTAACTCAGAATAGTCCAAGGGTTGAACATCAACTGTTACTGGAAAAAGCCTTGAGGTGATCAAAGAGAACAATGGTGCAGATTAAGAGGGAAAGATGTATAATAAAAGATACATATCAAACCTTTCGGATTACAACACTAAAGCAATAAAAGCAAAACCAATGAAAAAGACTGAATAGAACTAGAATAAAGCCAAGGGAAAGTTTCAAGGAGTGCTAATGGGATCAAAAGTGCAGAGATCAAATAGAAGGGTCAAGAAGTACCAAATGGGTGCAGCAACCAGAGTCACTGCCAACCTTGAAAAGAAAAATGTCAGTAGACAGTTAAGGGCAAAAGCCAGTTTACAGTTGGTTAACAAAGGAGGCATGGAAACCCTTTCTACGTTCCACTCATCCATCTATCCCAGTTTGATTTGGCTGTCTTCCTGTGCATGGAGTGGTTACTGTGTGCTCACTAGCGGTTGGCCCCAAGAGGAGGACGGAAGCAGAGGTTAGGCTTTCTAATTTTTCCCAAGTATTGTTGAGTTCTGTTGGCCTACAAATTATTTAGTTCTACAGTCCATTCATGCTTTGCATATATGATAGTACAAACTGTTAAATAATAAACAGAAGGTGTAAAGTGGTAAATATTCACTACAATACAAGCCTT